TATCCTGGATTCCCTGTGTTGCAGGCTCTTATCTGTAACAGTATGCATGTTCTGGTCTAATCCAATTTATAAGATAGAATTGAGGTCATGATAGTAGGGGGAAGAAGAGCCAGAGGAAAGTTGTGTGTTTCATCGGTGCTGTACTGCACCCTGACTGCCTCATCTCTTCCCTGTGACTCCTCTGTGAGGGGATGTCCAATGGTTTACAGATGGGCATTGGTTCTCCATGCTGCCTCCCCCACCCCACCACCCATTCACCTTGGGTATGGTTTTGTTCTGGGTCTTAGATGCCTGATACCTGATCCCATCAACACCTCATGATCACACGGGCTGGTGTGCTTCTTCCGTGTGGGCTTTGTTGCTTATGAGCTAGATGGTCACTTGTTTATCTTCAAGCCTTTAAGACCTCAGACGCTATATCTGACAAAAAGAAACGTGATCCTGTTTCCCTTCATGTATATTGAGCAAATCATTAGTTACTGCATTTTGCTTTGAAGAGTCTTCAAGGGTTAGAATACATTTAATGTTATTCTGATGCCACCAAGCAAGATCAAAGGCTTCACTAATTCCACATGGTTTCTGTGTTAATAGAGAAATGCTAGACGTTTGACTCTGTACAGACTAACTGTGGAAGTGGCACCGGCAGGCAGACAGGGGGCATCCCTACTCCTTGGTTAAACCTGAAAAGATGTGCTGATGGCAAAAGATACACACAGTATCTTCACTGGGATATTTGCCAGATTGATGTATAAAAAATAATACCTTGTCATTGTTTTAATTTATAGTTCTTTGATTATGAGTGTGATTGAAGACTCAATCTAAGAGTGATCATAGTAGAAAAAAAGAGCCCAGAGTTCCTAGAGAATCCATTTGTTGTACAGAGAATCTACATGACTGGTTATAATTTCCCTGTAAGATTTCGTAGGCTGGAATTATTATAGGAATAGATTGCCAGGTCTTTTCTCCTGTGAAAATATTGAGCTCAAACCACCCACTTTTCTGATCGCAGCTCAGTATTTAACCATTGCACCACCAGAACTCTTAATAGACACAGCCAACAGAAATGCACCTTGAGTTCCCTCTCCTCATTCTTATGCTTATTTTTTCTCAATAAATTGTGCTCTTTCCAAAAGCAAGGATACTTAGCTAAAATGTATTGATAAGAAGGTGTAAGCAAGCAAAGAGAAAAGAAATGGAAGGTGCAATACATGTGCATAAGGTTTAAGTGCTCTTTATAACAGGTTAATGTCTATCCCTGATCCCCTGCCACCTTTCACATGAAGATAAGAAAATGTTCATATTAGCTCTGTGACTGGGTCTCGCTAAAACCTGTCTGGTCTTCAGTTTCCCTACATATAAAATGAGGACATTGCATTAAGTTGCAGGCTACTAATGCCAGAAAGTACTTTAGAGAGCCCTTGACAATATAGACCATAAGGCCTTCTAGAAAACATTCTACCATGTACACCCTGAAGTGTCTACATTTAATGTTCCTCTAGAACTTCAGGTTCAGCTTTTGCGGAGTTTCAGACAACTTATGTGTCATCATATGCAAGGCCAGGTGGGACCACATATTGAGCTATTCACCTGTCAAGAGTGATGATATGTCAGGAGTCCATCTTAAAGAATATGCACCCTTTTTCAAGTGATCAATAGAATCATGACATGAGTGATTTATTAATTACTAATAAACTTTGGAAGAAGCCCTCCCAGGAATAACTAGAATATTGAGTTATTAGCTAAAAAATGATTTTGACAGGAAAGAAATGACATCTTAAAATTTTAAGATGTCATTTCTTTCCTGTCAAAATCATTTTTTAGCTAATAACTCAGTTCTCACAATAAAATGCCCTTGTGCTTTGGTTTGTGTTGGTTGTTGAGACCAAGGCTGGGGCTATGACTTCACAGTATGGACTTGAAGATGCTTCTTTGAGTCCCATGTTTGAAAAGGCTACGTCAGAGATAAAGTTTGAATAGCCTGCCTTGGCCCTCTTAGCATTGCTGGTGTGACTGTAGCTTGGTGTCACCTTACTGGAAGGCAATCTGGCTGTGACTATCAAAATTTAAAATGACATGCCCTTTGGCTTGCGATTTTACTACTAAAAATGTATCCTACAGGTTTACTTGTGTGTTCACAATGACATATGTACAGGAATATACATTGGGGAATTGCTTTCAATGTCATAGCTTTTCAAAACAGCCTAAGTCAAGAGATTGATCAAATAAATGGTAATATGTCCATGCAAGGGAATAGGCCACAATAATGAACCAACCCATTAAGAAGTGATAAGTGTGGGGAAATTTTTGATGGTATTAAACTAGATAGTGTGTAAACATGAGTCATTTTTTCTAAAAACATATAGACTAGGTATATGTGGTCATTGCACCTGCTTAGAAGAGTAAACTGTAATAGTGAGGAAGTGTATGAGGGAAGTCGGTAGCACCGACTGTTGGCTGATCGCTAAGGTAGACGTTTAGCCTCAATCCTTTCCCTTTTTCCTCTCTTTTGGCTTTCCGCTGTTTGCCTTCCCCTTAGTCTAGGACATTCCTAGCTCAGGGACCTGAGGTCCAAGGAATCACTCCACTCCTGGCTCTTATCTCTTGATGGTACTGAGGTCGCACCATCTCTGCTCACTTTTTTAATCTCTTTTATATCTCAAAAGAGATTGGCTCAAATACAATCTAATCCTGTACAGTGTATCCTAGCTCATCAACATAAATGACTCTACTTCTACCTCCTTAACATTGTAAAGGTTAGGATTTACAATACATAAGGTAATTACATCAGAACACAAAATGGAAGATAATTACATAATATTGGAATGTGAGGAGGGGGAGGAGCAATTTAATCCACCAACCTAGGGGATTACTTACTATTCCAGTACTATACTGGAAAATATTCTATTTTGATACATAGGTTTTCACCGGCTAACATTTGGAAGTTGATCAATAATCCTTTTTTCCTAATTTACCTAAGTTTGGAAGCTCTGCTGAAACCTGTGTACCATGGGTGTCTCTGTATTAGACATATCTATGACATAGCTTCTACCATCATAGAAATATACATCATAGTATGACAAACTTACAGAAAGGTGTCAAGTCTCTTTTTATTAGCTGAGTTTTCTTTCTCAGCATGTATTATGACTTGCAGTTATGTATTGATTGATATGTATGTCTCTTATCCATCTTCCCACAAAGGAGTTTCAGTTCTATTAAGACACAAAGATGCCTCTCTCAGGACATGGACATAGTGGGTGCTGGATGACTAATTCCTGAATTGATGATGTTCAGGATGAGTGAAGGAAATTGGAAAGGAGTCCATGTGGGACTTTGGGTTTCCCAAAATGGTGCTAGGGCCAGCGCTTCTTGGGAGGGGCGGGGGGAGTTGAAGAAGGGCAGCCAGCTTCTGCAGCAGACTTGGTTACAAGCACCACAACTCCGGACTTGATAAGAGCAATAGCTTGACCCTGGCCGGCCCCAGATCATAGTAGCTAATGCTTATCTGGAAACAAAAGTCTTGGCAAATCTTCACTTTCTGACTTTGGCTTTATTTTTGACTCATTCCATTTTATATGAAAGTGCCCAAAGTAGTGTTGAAGACTTATTTTCCAAGTTTCACCTCTGTGACTTCATCATTGTTCAAAAGTAAGTATGGAGCTTAGATAAAATCCCTGCTTCTGCCTTTTTTAGGCAACTGATCTTTGGGGAGGTGCTTTCCTCTCTAAACCTTGTCTTTCTAATCTCTAAATTAGAGCATAAAACAATCATAAGGTTCATATTAGTTAATATGTGTCAGGTGATTACAGCTGTTAAAAAGTAGATTGTTAAAAAATATAAAAGTGGGTTTTGTTGTTTGTTTGTTTACCTGAAATAGCACAGAATTTCCCAGAGTAGATGCTGACAGTAGTCTAACTTTTGAATCTTACCCATCCATTTAGTTCTCTAATTTTCTAGAACTAATTTATGGAATAAGTGTTTCTTTCAGCAAGCATCCATGCAGGACCCTGGCCCAACATCATTGGTCAAGATATTTTCAATGTCAAGAAGCCAGTCTGAGTCAGAGATGTGTGGAAGGGTATTTACCTAGCATCTGCCCACACGAAGGAGTGAAGGGCATAGGATTGGGAAGTTGGGGAAGTTAAACCACATTCAGCTGACTCCATCAGAACTATGGATGATCTTCCAGAGTTATCCTAAACTGAGGCAAGAGTCTTTCATATTCTACACTGACCAGTTGCTGGACATATTATACTGGGCAGCTAGGAAGGGAATGTCATCATAGGACTTCATCAGATGTAATTCTGCAAAGTTGCCAATATTGTCAGCAGCTGCAACAATGAGTGTGTCAGTCCTCAGGGAAGGATCTGGGCAGAGTGGTGCACACCATTTACGTACTCCTCAGACTAGCCTTGACCTTGTGCAAACATTGTTTCTGTTTTGCACTTGTGATTCTAGGCAAACCTGGTTCTAGTCCCACCCCAGCCACTTACCAGCTGGTCCATGGACAAGCCCTTTCATCTGAAACTGGGGGTGCCTTGTATCTTATCCACTTTCCTCACTGTTGACTGTGGACTATTTTGCATGGTTTTGGAGAGGTTTAAAGAGAGAAGAATGATGATGTGCCTAATACAAAATAAGGCATTCTACCCCACACACGTTGGTGGGCTAGAATGATGTTAGATAGATTAGCTAATTATACAACATAGTGTGTATAACAGTGGCAATCATACAAGCTACAAAGAGCTGCAGTGTTCTTGGAAAGCCGCACTATAACTCTTACAATTCTTACTCCGAAAAAACAAACTCACGGCCAATATGATGCCAATTCATTGTGACAAACTGCCTCTGTGGGTTTCCAAGACTGTAATGTTTTACAGGAGTAGAAAACCCATCTTTCTCCCACAGTTCTTACTAGAAGACTTAAATAATTCAGGCACTGCTCTCCAGCCTAGGCACAGGTCATGAGTGTGTGGCTTGACTTTGGCACTCTCTACTCCTAGGTATCACTGAAGTACTCCCTGGTGATTGTGCAAGGACATCTGGTGTCGGAAGGGGTCCTTCTCTTTGGCCACCAGCACTTCTACATCTGTGATAACTTCACACTATCTCCAATGGGCGATATCTACTGTACCCACCACTGCTTGTCCAAGTGAGTCCTCCTTTTCTTCTATACCATTTTCCCTGAATCCCTACTTCTACCCCAGCCCTTTTCTCGTGTGCTTAACAGCAAGCTTAGGTTTGGCCTTGAAATGAGATAAAGCAGAAGACCCTTAAGACATGGGCACCTTTGACCATGGTTCCCAAAGCCGGAGTCTAGAATGGCAGCTACCTGTTTCTCTGCTGCCAGGGCATGCATCAAAGGACCGTGGTTTCTTTATTTACTTTTTATTAGCTCATTCAGATAATGGAATCTAATTGCCTCCACTAACTCATTAAAACTTGTTGAGAGCTCATTTTATCTAAGACAAGAGGCGCACTGTCTTTCCACTCCAGGGCACACCATTCCATTTGGCAGCATCACAGGGCCTTTTAAAAAAGAGTCTGTAACGGATTTTCCCAGTGGAACAAGTGGTGACTCTGACTTGTATGATGAGGGAAGGCTACTTGAAGATAGGGTTAAGATCTGATCTTGAAGGCCGGGTGAAATTTTGGTCAAATTTGGAGTCCTTTATACCCATATCCATGCCAGTGGTCAGTGTAAGTTTCTTCTTTCTGATCAAGCGTATTTGGTCTACCTGGGTTCTACCAGAGCTTGTGGATTTGGAGTCAATCAAATGGATTGTGTTTTAAGGTACTTTCCATTTTAATCCAACTCGTTTTTTCAGATTTGCTAGAAATGCATTTGCCAAGCTGTCCATGTCCTCTCTGTTGTGGTACCTGAGCACATCTGAAAAAAGATTTCTTTATGAATGATGCATCTTCTGGTTATCCATAGTTCAGATGATGACAAGGTGACTTCCAAGCCCACGGGCTCTCATGTAGCTTCTGTCCGACTTCCCTGGAGAGCTCGTTAAAACACAGATTGGGCCCCTCCATCCTCATTTTAGCAAGTTCCCAACCAATACTGCAGGTACAACTCTGGTCCTATTTTGAGAACCACTGTTTTAAACCATTGCAAGAGGAGCTACTAACTTAGAATTTAGACTCCCATTTGTTATATTATTTCCGTTTTATGTCAGAAAGCAAGAGTTGAAGGAATATGGGAATATGGATGTCAGTCCATCCTCTTTTAACTTAGATTTGCTTTAGAATTCTGGACCTTTTCCTTTCTGCTAAATTTTATCTGTTACTCATCCTAAACAGTCATAGATTGCTGTGCATACACAGTATTTCTTCCAAGGCAGGAGGTGCATAATTAATACTTGGAACACTCACCCTATTTTATTGTTCATGTTTTATTAATACTGACCAATATAAGCAATGGGTCTGCAGACTTGCCTTTCTGATCATGAAAGCTCTACCTATATGCATGCCATGCCCATGCAATCACTTGTATATTCCATTGCTTCAATCTTCACCTCTGATTTATACTGAATTAGTGTTAGACAGAATCTTGTTTACAAGATCCACCCAATCATGATCACCCTGAGCAGATCTGCACTTTTATAGAAGCCAGTTTGTCAGGCTATGCTTTTTATCCACATACTCCCATGATTTGTCTGACAAAGGGGACTTCTTATGTCTGAAAATGTACTTTTCTAGACTGGAAGAATACATGTCTAGTGGAACAAATTGCTCCCCTGGAATATCACTTGAGAATTGTGTAAGTAATTTCAGTCAACATACCTTTAAAAAAAATTTTTTTAATTTGTTAACCAGACAGTATTTTCTCTCCTGGGTTTTGTCTTCTACCCTAAGAAACTGTTGGCTCTTGTGGAGATGTGGTATTCGGAGACAGGCTTTTAGATCGTGCCAGATCAATGGGGAATAAATCTTATTTTGACCATGGAGACTAAAGCAGATACATAAATAAACATGCTAAAAATAAAGCAAAATCAACCCTGAAATGTTTCTCTAAAAGACTGCCATTAAATTAAACACAGTTAAGTATTAGACCTTGAAAGATGCTCTCTGGTGTACTGTAAAAGTTTCCTAAATACAACTCAAAAAAAATTGAGTACTTCGTCAGTGACTGCTGAGAAATCAAGAAGCTTTTGAATAGGTTAGATTTTGCTTGATGAACTGGGGGCAGGTTGTGGCAGTCCAAGTCACAGGGCATTTGATTCCTTTGTTGGGACTCAAACTATTTGCCTGTTTGCCAGAACTTAAACTTCATGTCATTGAGTCTATGTGAACTAGAGGGACCTTATAGGACAGAGTAGATCTGCCCTGTGATTTTCTGAGACTGTAACTCTTTATGGCAGTAGAAAGCCTCATCTTTCTCCCATGGTCTGGCTGGTGGTTTTGAACTATGGATTTTGCAGGTAGCAGCTCAATGCTTAATCACTATGCCACCAAAGTTCCTCACTCTTTGCAAGAGAGAACTTTAATCATATTATTTTCTCCAACTCAATCTTAAAGTATATTTTCCACATTTAATTCAATTAAATATTTATTGAAAGTCTTCCTTGTACTGCACTGTGCTAGATTGCATTCATTCAAAGGGATTAGTCAGATGTGGGATGAGTCAGATAAAGGGTTTATGATCATGTGAATTATTCTAAGTATAAATTCTAGTAGTAATGGGTTAACTTCAGATATAAGGCGCATCAACAAGCATTTAATTCTGAAATTTACTTCTACTCTCCTAGACCATGTCGGGCAATATTATAGTTAACGTGTTATACTATGACACCCCCGAATTTACTTAGATCATGATAGCTGTCATGAAAAAGAACTGTGTACACATCCAGGGAATTTGGTAACAGCTCCCCCAAAGGAAAACGCAGATCAGCTTTCCTTTTCTACCCTTCACTCTTGGGGTCCTGCGTTCAGATTGCTGAGAGCATGCAGAATGCCTGGTTGGCAAAAAAAGCAATGCTGTGTGAAAGAGACATCTGTGTGAAAAAAATGCTACATAAGACAAACCAAAGTTTAGACTTATATCAATAAATAATGGGATATACAACTAGCCTTTCTAAGGATTTAGGCCTTCCTAAAGATTCTTGCCCTGCATATTCAACCCTACTATATGGGCACAGGTTTACTATTCCAGGAGTACAAACTGAGGGAAAAATGACAACATTCCTTCTTAATCCCCTTATTTTCCAAAGCATTATCCATGATGTCTGTTATAGAATCCTTGCTAGCAAGCCGCTCCCCTTCAGGAGGCATGGGGTGGGATAGGGGATGTATTATCATTGAAGGAGAGTGTGTTTTAAAGTCAGAAAGTCTGGATTTGTATCCTAAGTTTCCCCTTTCAATAATCTTACGACCTAGGGGAAGCTACTTCTCTCTGGGTTGAAGTTTCGTCATTTATAGAGATCAATAGTTGCCATCTGAGCGTACTTCAGCTCACAGTGACCTCATGAGCATCAGGACCAAAACACTGCCTGGTCCTACAACGTCTGTATGCTCACTAGCATGTTCAAGTCCATTGTTGTAGCCAGTGTGACAGTCCTTCTCGTTGCCCTCATAAGCCATCTACCAAACCTAACTTCCTCCTCTAGAAATTGGTTCCTCCTGAAGACATGTCCAAAGCAAACATGTCGGTAATGTTCTGTTGTGATCCAGAAAGTTTTTACTGGCTAATTTTTAGAAGTCGATCACCACAGGTTTTTTCAGTCCATCTGAGTCTGGAAGTCATACTGATCCTTGATGATCTTGCTGAAATTTGCAATACTGATGGCATAGTTTCCAACACCATAGCAACACAGCAGTCACCACAGGGAAAAATGACAGGAATGTGGTGGCTCCCAATTTATAACATACAAATAATAACATGCACTAAATGGAAGCATATACAGAGCTCAAGGGAAGATATAAGCAAGAAAGCACCATGAACAGAAGTCTGTACCTCAAGGAACTTCCTCCTTGCCTGCTGAGAGGAAAAATTAATCAACTGTAAGCTAAGTTACAAGGATGGTGTTGTGATTCAGGTAATCATAGGCCGTCTCATAGAGGAGTCATTAATGTTATTGCCAACAATATTGTTACTTGATGTGCTATTTGATCTAAGCTTAAAATAGATACCACCACAGTCCAGAGTGAGTCAGAGAAATTTATAGGAAGTTTATCTTAGACTCAGGAAAATATAATAATGAGCAGATTTCAAATAAATCATACAAGCAGAAACAACCAAATCCAAAGTCACAGTTTGTTATTTGTTCCATTCTACAGCTTTAGCAACATATTTCTGAGGGCCAGAGAGTTCTCTGGAAAGAACAGGAGATGCTGTGATGGATGTGAGTCTACATCCTTGCAATCCAGTTTTCTAGGGAGTCTAAGTGAGTCCATTTTAGTACCTTTACTTTTGCCTGGCCTTGAACATCCTGCTCAGTGCACAAATCTACGTTCTCAAGACTGTTAGGATATGCCAGCCCCCACTGACTCACCAAGTGGGGAAGTCTTCCTGGTCCATGAAATGCCAATTGTTCTGCTTCACCTAGAAGCAAAGTACAGAATCTCATGGATTCTCTGTAGGTTGTCCTGTGGAGGACAGCATTCAAAGCCCAGATGGGAAGGAAGGGAAACACCAGCTCACAACCTATTCTCTGATAAATGGAGCAGAAGCTGTCTCTAATATTAGCTTGTTGATCTGTGATGGATGCATGGGCTTCTTGAGTGTTGAGGTGCTTAGAAGGCCTACCAATATTAAAGGGGCTTATTTTCAGATTTTTCTATAATGTACATAATTTTAATTCATTACATAACTCATATTCAGAAATTCAACTGTCAGTAACTAAATTTGAAATTCTTGTTGAAGATTAAGGATTGTAGTCTTCAGTATGGATTACAGCTCAATGTAAAGAAAACCAGAATCCTCACAACTGGATCTATAGGTAAAAACATGATAAATGGAGAAAAGATTGAAGATGTTAAGGATTTCATCTTGCTGGGATCTATAATCGATTCTCATGGAAGCAGCTGTCAAGAGACCAAATGACACATTATTGTGAAAATCTGCTGCAAAGACCCCTTTCAGGTGTAGAAATAAGAATGTTACTTTTAGGTCTAAGGGGCACCTGATCCACATCATGATATTTTCATTCACCTAATGTGCATATGAAAGTTGGATATTGAATAAGGAAGTTGAAAGAAGAATCAATGTATTTGAGTAATAGTGCTGGCAAATAATATTCACAGTACCATGGGCTGCCAAAAAAATAAAGACATCTGTCTTGGAAGAAGTACAGCCAGAATGTGCTTACAAGCAAGAATGGTGAGAATTGGTCTCATATACTTTGGGCGTGTTATAAAGAGAGGGGCATCATGGTTGGTAAAGTTAAAAAAGGAACGCCTTCTACAGGGTGGATTGGCACAGTGGCTGCAATCGTGGATTCAAACAATAGCAGTCAATAGACAAGAGCAAATGAGAACAATTGTGAGGATGGCACAGGACTGGAGAGTGGTTTTTGTTTGTTTGTTTTTTAAAATCATTTTATTGGAGGCTCATACAACTCTTATCACAATCCATCCATCCATCTGCTGTGTCAAGCACATTTGGAATAAAGATTTAGAAACATTTGTGATTCTTCTTTTTGCCTCTTCTCTCCTTCCCATTAGGCATCATTTTGATATCTGGGAAAGATTTCTGACTGGCTGGTGTATCCTGATTCTTGTTGACTTCTCCTACAGTGTGGCTGGTTCCTGATTTTAGGCATTAAGGTTGAGTGAGGGTCTTGTAGTCATGCAGCATGTCTCTTTGGAAGATCAGGGTCATTGCCACTTTCTCCCATGCTGTCTCACACCACCCTTGGCATGTCCGGTCTAGTCCCAGATTCCATGCTACCGATACCACGGGGCTCTTTGTGGAGACTTGTGACCTTCCTATTCACCTTCAAATATAATTGGGGGATTTCTCTTATTTTTGACCCTTCCAAGAAAGAACAAATTTCCTGCCATTAAGTGGATGCTGACTCATAGTGACCCTATAGGGCTGAGTAGAACTGCCCCCTGTGAATTTCTGAGAGTGTAGCTCTTTATAGCAGTAAAAATCAGACCATTGTTGAAGAACTCAGTGTAAATAACTCACTGTAATATTTCCTGTAAGTTTGGTCTGGTTTTTACAATTCCCTTAATTTATATTTCACTGGCAAATCTCCTAATTTTGCCATCACATTTGGTAGATAATTTTTCTAGATACATAATTTGATTGCTAAGTGTTTTCCAGGGTTTTATATGTCAGTTGTTGCCTTTTTGCTGGCATGATTTCTGGCAAGAAATGGTGGATATAGCTTGGTGGAATTGCTAGCTCCCAACTTCTGGAGAAAGATAGAAAATGGGAAGGGAGCATACTATAACAGGAGAAGAAAGTTCAAAGGGAAAAAAAGAGGAGAAGACAACTAAACAAATGCAGTACAATATTGGCCATAGCTGCCAAACATGGATTCAGTGAGAATGTGGTGCTCATCCCATAGGAACACATATAATTGAATGGGGAGGGTATTAGTGAATGTGAAATTATTGATTTTTCTTCTCAGTTCTTCCTTCCTCTTCCCATTTTATTTTATTCTATTTCCTTTACTTTAAAAATTCTGAGAAATAAAATAAAATTTTAAAAAGATGACACATATGTTACCTGCTGTAATAGGTAGGTTTATTGTGCCCACCTGGCCAATGAACACAGTTGGGATTAACTGAAGGAAGGGGAGATAAATGACTCGTGAGCCTTGCCTTTCTTGTCTCTTACTCTGTGATGATCAGACCGTGTGCGGCTGCCTTAGCTGGTACTCTGCCTCAACTTGCAAGCTATACTACCTGTGGGACACACAACCCATGGATTGTGTCGCTGTAGTTTGAGGTTCCTTCAAGACCTGCTTCACCATGCTAATGGAGTACACATCACTTGAGCTGGGGACTCTGGGACCCTGTCATCTGGCTTGAGTGTTGGTGACCTGCCTTGCTGCATGCTGCCTGTAGCAGGATTGTCGGAATTGTTCTACAGAGGACTCAGCTATCTGCTTCATTGATTTGCACCCAGCAGCCCTCAAGACTTGAAGGACTGCCAGTATATTAGCTATCTCACAGAAGTGTGTTGCACTAAGCCATTTGTACTGCTCTATAGACTAATTAGCTGTTTATTTCTTATGTTGTATATATACCTATGTTTGTAAACATATATAAAATCATAAGTGTCCTGGTTTTGTTTCTCTAGAGAACCTTGTCTAACACACTTGCCAAACACAACGTTAGTGGGAAATCCAAAAGGATCTGACTGGATGCTACTGTTCATATGGGTGCTGTTAGTAGGATGCTGCTGCATGGGATCCAAATAAATAAATAATAGAAAATGGCAATGGACAAGTAGTGGGGGGAAAGGAAAGGAGAGAGTCAGGACTAGAACTAAGAATAAAGATAAAGGAAAAGGTACTGGCAGTCGGGATGGAGGTGACCACTCACTGGGGAAGAGACGGGGGTGGAGTGAGGAGGTGAGGTTGGGGTGCAGCACACACCTGGTCACTGGGAGATAAGGGAGGAAGTCCACCTCTCTAGTCGCTGATCACCAATGCGGGAGTGCTGCTCCCCACCCCCACCCCCACCCCCAGTGCCCAGGGCAAATGGAGCTGGTTATCTGGTTCTTGCTCCAATGAAAACACTTCTTGTAATTACTCAAAATGGTCATGCTGTGCTAGTTGGCAGTTTACCCCTCAATTTAACATTTTTGTTTAATCTTTCCTCCTCATCAATATGTGATCTACTTCTTTATCCTCTCCATTAATATCTGGGTTCTAGGATTGCCACCATATCTGTTTATTTGGGGTGTTTTGGGCTTTTTTTGCATCTTTGATGCAGAGGGTCTGTATAGTATATCTGCCTAGTCCACCATCTTGAATCCTCCCTCCCAGAGCATTTTTCCCTCTCGTGCCACATTTTGAAGTCAAGATAGTTGTTTGTATGCTCATTGAACCAAATTCCAGAGCTGACACCAGCAGATGCGAAGAGAGGGGTTTTCTGGGGGCAGAGAGGCTGTCAGCCTCATTGACAGGGAACAGAGATGAGGTTCACCAAATTCCATTTCATGTGGATGTCTGGATATATACTCCATGTCTTGATTCCTTTTCAGCATCAGCGATCCATTCATTTTCAACATGTGCAGCAAAGACAGGTCCTGCAATCATTACTCATGCCAGCGCTACAGCTATGCAGAAATCAGGGAGATTCGCAAGACACGCTTTCTTCTGCAGGTATGCCTTTTGAAATAGCCGGAAGCCCAACTTGTTCATATGATACAAAAACTTTGTCCCACCAAGGCCCCAATATCTGTAGTAAGGGACCTGCCTCCATTCAGACCATGGAAGCATGACTTCAGTGACCCAGAACTCTGATTCTTTGTGCAGTTTTACCCTGTGATGCCACAAACATGTCATATAGACTTAGAGCAGGGCAGAATAGCTGCACTGCGTCATGGAACTAACAACTGATATTTGAGTCCCAGCCTTCTTGATGTGGAATGACCTGGCCCACCTTGTCACCAGTTCTGCTCTCACCTTGGGACACATGGCCCGCCCTATTCCTTCTTTCCTCTCTCCCCGTTATTCTCATCTATCTCCAAACACCCAAATCTCATTTCTTAGTGCACATCTTGCCATCTGCAGCCTCATGTCAGCAGACTCACTGTTGCTTCTCTATCCCCCAAAAGATCATACGGGGCCTCTGTCATAGAGTATGAGGGGCAGGAGCAGGCCCAAGATGTAGCCCACACTCTCTGCAGGGTCTCTGTTGGCTCTGCAGACACCAAGTGGGAGCAATGCTGGGCCATAAAGAGAGATTATAAGAATCTTATATTTGTCACTCCCCTTATGGGTGCACAGCACATAAATTCAACAAAACGTCCTCATGCAGAAATCATTGTTTTTATTGTCTGAAACAGCTTCTTTGAAGCTAGTTCAGGGCAATTCTGCTGTCTTGTAGATATTGACCCACCAGGTATTCTGCTGTCTGGCCATCTGATGAGCCCTCTCCATCTCTACTCCCTGCAATTGTCCACAAAGTAGTTGGTTCTCACGTGTGTGATTATTTGCAAGAAAAGCAGAGCACCCACCGCGTGGGAACCTTCTGCCCTGATGGTTCTGAACAGTCAGAATGAGCCTGGACTGAGGGCTCTCACCTTATGGACCCAAGCAAGGTTCTGCCACCTGACACTCATGGAACTCATTCCAACTTAATTTCCCTGTCAACAAACAGAAAAGCATGACTTTCCCCCCTACAACTATATCTAGCACTTAGCACACTTAGAGACATAAAGTACCCAAAATTAATTTTTATTTTTGTCTACTTTACAGGTAAAGTAGATATCAATGAGTGCACTTCTTCTTCTAAAGTAAATGGTGTTTGTTTCTAGATGGTTGCTTAGTCCTACCGTCACTCCAGACCAGAAATGTGTGGTTGTATGTTCACCAAAAGAGGACAGGATATGGGGGAGGAGGGTTCTGTGAGCAGTCTGGGATTCTCCCTACAAAAGGAACTCGAGATTTTTTTCAGGGTGAATTGTGTCATCCACAGAGTCCACATTCACCTTCCGTTTTGCACATTGTATCTCTGGGTTTTGTTTGTGTTTTATTTTTAACTTGATGTACACCACAAAGGACAGGAATTTTGCAAGACCATTACAAATATCTTCCCTCTTCTTGGGGAACTTAATGAGTCCTAATGAGCAAGGCATTTTAAAAAAATCTACCAGCCAGTCAGAGAAAGGGAAGAACATGGGTACTAGATAGAGTAGCCATGTCTGTATGTTGGTGTAGAACGTTTGCTGGGGAAATGGTCAATGATATAAAGACAGACACCCCTGAAGTCTGCTCCACTTTTGATCTCACTGTGCCAGCTCCTCTATGCCCAGGTCTCCTCCCAACTTCCATACACCCTCCCCTGAGAATGGTTCCTCCTGACCCTGTCTCCTCCTGAACTTTTTCCCATATTACAAATATGTTGTTTAGCCTTTATTCTGTATTTCAAGTCACTCTGTTCCTTATTACAAGTCTCTTGTTTACCTAGCTTAGAAATGGATTGAACAGGGGGACAGAGGAAGGAAGACAAAAGGGAAAGAAAAAATAAAAGGAAATAAAACCTTGTAATTTTCTCTTTTTTTAATGTTGATATATTACTGAAGCAAGGAATCCTGGTAACCCAATATTTAAGCATTTGGCTGCTACCAGAAAGGTTGGTGGTTCAAGCCCATCCAGAAGCGGCTCTGCAAGAGAAAGGCCTGGGGATCTGTTTCCATCAAGATTACAGCCAAGAAAACTCCCTATAAGACCCTTCTACTCTGCACGTGTGGGATTGCCACAACTTGAAAGGAACTTGAGAATACCTTATGCAGCATTTTGCTCAAAATGGCTCATTAAAATAGACTCAGCCAAATATCTCGTGTGTTTCTAATCTATAGCTAAACACAGGAATCTTCCTGGTTTAGGAAGTTAGCATCCAACCTACTAGTTCCCTTATGTTTCTGAAAAGGTAGCCCTCCAATACAGGAGTCTAAGTTCTCTATTAGAAAGTGAAGGTCTCTGACGGTGCTGTTGGGTATTTTCTCACTGCTCATCGTGCTAGGAGCCTGATGGTGTAGGGGTTACCTGTCAGGCTGTGATCCACATGGTTGGGAGTTCCAAACCTCCAACAACTCAGTGGGAGAAAGACTGGGCTTGCTATTCCCATAAAGTTACAGTCTTGGAAACCCACAGATCACTATAATCAGAATTGACTCGATGGCAGTGAGTTTGGTTTGACTTGGGTCATCTAGTACTACTGTAAGAAAAATTCACAGGAAGGTGGTTTTAAAGGAGAGAGATGTAGCTCCTCAAAGCCAGGAGACGTCTTGTTGAGTTGATTCTGGCTCATAGTGAACCCATACGACAAGATTTCCCATAAGGTTTCCATGTGTGCGACTGACGCTTCTTTTCCTCACGGGGAAGCATGTGGGTCCAAACACTCACCTTCCAGTCATCAGTGGAGCATTAGACACTGTGCCACCAGAACTTCTGTGCCACCAGAGCTTTGGGAGTCCAAATTTGGGATATTAACTCTAAAAGATGGTTTTACTTTATCTCTTTCAATTCCAATTCAGAGGGACCCTATAGGACAAAGTAGAACTGCCCTGTGTGTTTCCAAGACTATAACTTTCTCTTGCAGAGCCCATGCTGTGTGGGTTTGAACTACCAACCTTTGGATTAGCAGCCAAGTGCTGAACTGTTGGTTAACCAGGATCTCATTTTTCATGAATACATCATTTTTTTAAAAAAATTACTCTTCGTGTGTGTAGAAAATCATACCATTTATGGGAGTGGGAAGCCTCCCCTTTCACCCTCAGAGTGGCTAGTGCTTTGGAACAGCTGACCTTTATGTTAGGAGTCCAATTTGTCACCCACGGCACTTCAGGGGCCCTGTTTTAGCTTTGAAGGACTTGTCAATTCTTTAGGTTTTACAGACTCATTCTCTGTCACTATATGTGTTCCTCCTATTTTCCTGTTTGTTTTTTTTAAATAGAAGACTCCTCAGAAAGAATTAGATTTAGAGTATGGTGGTACTCTGTGTGGCCTCATTATCATAACAAAATAACAAGGATCATGCTCACTGGTACAGGAATTTGAATTTCCATCTGTCTTTTTCTGAGAGCTACAACTCATTCCATGAGAGTCCCATTGTCTACTCCTCACTTGCTTTGGTGAGAAGTGATCCTCCTGCTCTGGTCTGAAGTCAAAGGAACTAGAGCTGCTGTCAGGTGCTGGATCCCCTTTCCCCATCACTTCCTGCTGAGATAATCAATCGTCCCTGTCACTACGGACTTCATACTCCTCTGGGAGATCCAAAGAATTAACCAGGAAGGGCTTCCTGATTCAGAAACACAATACCAATTCCTAGCTGCTATGTCATTTAAAGACACCTTCATTCTCTAAATTGAAAAGAGTGCCTTCAAAGAGACATCAGGAATAATAAAAGGAGTTTTTCTTTATAGGATATCTCCCTGGAAATCTTCTTCCAAAACGGATATTCCAAGTTTCTTGTCTTCCACAATAGTGACCGGAGTAAGGCCTTCAAAAGGTAAGACTGTGCAACATGGTTCCTTTTTGCAGAAACATCATGAACTGAGAACAAAGGAATAGACTGCACATCTCTGTTCTCATGAAAAAGTATCTCAATCTGAAGGAAGTAGTACTTAGGTTAAGAACTAGACAGAAGAGAACGGCTGGATCATGGAACAAAGTACTGAGAAAAGGCACAGAAACTCCATTCTAAGTGATGGGGGAGAGAAAGATGCACACACACCCCTAGTCCTCATCTGACAATTCTCATGCGCAACTAGAGTAAAATAAATCTACTATCCAACTACTTGATGCACAAACAATGTGCAGGTGCAAGACAATAGTAACACTGACTGGAAAGGTACAGGTTATATAACAATTTATCTGGGCCATGGTTCTCAGAAGTTTGCAAATTATGTAATGACGCAATTTGGTGATTACGTAATGTGGTGGTCATCTTCCATGCAGGAATCTGATATCGTCAACTTCCATTCTTTCATGATGCCAAATTTCACATAGTGATCTGGTGTAAGAAGCTTAACCTTGTTGTTAAGTGCAGAGTATAACATATTTAATAAACTGGCTGTTTAATGGACCCTCCAGAATTGTTTCACTTTCTTTTATTATTTTCCAAATAGCTTTATTTTTAATTTTTTTCAACAGTTTTATAGCATGTAGTTTACATATCAATAGTTCAATCATTCAGTCAAATCAAGGAGAATTGTACAATCAATTTTAGATGTGGTACATCTCCTCCAGTACATCACCTTTAAAGAGTTCCGCAATCACAATCCGTTCTTGTGCTCCCTCCCTCCAACCTTCATTATTTAAGACCCAAATCCCTTTCCCTTCTTATCACCTACCCTTGTATTTCATATATCCCCTTGTGTCAGTTATTATCATTATGTATTCACTCCTCCTGTACTTCACAGCTGGGAGACTCAACAGAAAACAATAAAAGCAAAACCACACTAAGATGGTAAGGATAAAATCATAATAGTACAAAGACAAAAATGCAAATGATGCTTAAGAAGAAAAGACCACCATCAACATTCAAAAAGCCAGGGAAGAAATTTCTGTCATGGAATAACTAAGAGATACTTACACCCAGAACAAATTCAGGCCGTGTCTATAGGGAGGTCAACCGGTCAAGTATCAAGTTGGATCCAGCATAATCAAGATGACAGTGGCCTTGGCCTGATAGTAAGGCTGTTCATGACTCTTGCCTGTGGCTAGAGGGGATCTGCCAGTAGCTCCTTCTGGATAGATACTCTGCAGATGGGTTTGGGGCTCCCACTGTCCCCCATAGTCCTCAACAAATTGGGTGTTCATAATTTTAGCTCTGATGTGTTTCTCCTCACACTATTCATATTTTGTAATTGTCATCTTTGGATCACACAAGCTGGTATGCTTCTTCTGTGTGGACTTAGTTGATTCCTTGCTTGGATTCCTGGTTTGAATACAAGCCTTTAAGACCCCAGCCACTATTCCAGTTAATACAATTAATAGCAGGGCACCATCTGATTTCTTTAATAAGTACAATTAATAGCAGGGCACCATCTGATTTCTTTAATTCACTTTGCTATAGTACCTTTATCTTCAGTGATCATTTCCTGAAGGTGAGCATCAAGCAGGGCTGTGATGTAAAAACTAATTGTTCTTAAGTTGGAGCTAGGATTTAATGGTAGCCCAAAACCCATTCCTGGATCTATGCTTTTTTAATTATTATTTGCTATAACTTGGGAATTAATACATATGTCATATCATTCCGTGGTGTATGTAACCATGTCAAGCATAATTGTACAATTGCTTCCATAATCAGTCTCCAAACTTTTCTTTCCTGAACTTCTTGAATCATCTCCCTCATATTTCTCCCACCCCTACATATCGCCCTTCTCCCAAAACCCTTGTTATAGTTTCTTTCCCTATAGGCTCAAAGTCCCTGATTTCATATACCCAAAAACAAAGAAACAAAACAGCTCAAATAACTTTATTTTTATTTCAACATTTTCAACCTCTACTCCTTAAAATATTTAGTTATTCCAATAACATATTTTCCTAGAAAGAATTCCAAACAAAATTTCCCACTTGTGTACAAAATATCCAATTTCCTTCAAGAAAGAAATCTATTTCAGTTTAACAATAGATTAATTGGTCTAAGAAAATTAAGCCAGTGTGTATGTTTTTAAAAGTCAGTCATCATAATTTTCCTCATTATTGTTGCTGTTATGGGTTTTGTGTAAAAAAATCTAAAACGGACAGAAAGAAAGACATGCTCCCAAACGTGAATGGACCACAGGGTCGTATCCCTTTAGATCCCTCTGGAAATTGTCTCCAAGACCCCTGTTAAACCAAATCTAAAATACAGGCTTTCAGTGCTCAACTTTAGATTAATTTCCTCCCATGATTTATGTATGTTAAACATTTGCCAAAGCTTGTCTAGAGATCTTGTGGCTCTCTTGAGTAGACAATAAATACTGCCTAGCAAAATTCCTTAACTGTACCCACCCTTTCAGGAGCATTACATTATAATAGCATTTTTTTCTCCAGATGGACATGCTAGAATATGCAGTAGAGCTGTTGAAATGGTCAACTGCAGTATCAAATACTTACCACTGAAGAGACACCAAAGAACGATGTGTCTTGGTCATTATTGTTTAACTATTATCATTATCATAAATAAGACCAGAGTTTGTGGTACTTGAACTTACTGAGAAGGATCCTACAAGGTACAGCCAAGACAGGTAAAAATGATCTAGTAGGCTGAGATATGTAGGGCAATGATGGATCTCGTCTACTTTGCTGATTCTGCAAGTGACTCCACTGGTTCTGAGAATATCTGGATTCTGCTGACAAAATTATCCTTTCAATTTTTTTTAAGCTTCTGCTCTTTCCAACACGGTTTGAAGGGGAAGAACATCACAGAGGACTCTCTCGATCTAAGGTAATGAGTCAGGGATGCATCAGTCATGCTTTCTGGTCATGGTTTGGCTTTGTTCTGATATTTCACTTATCTGATGGTATTCTAAACAACTTATGCAAAATCATCTGTTTGGGCCCTGTTTCTTAATTTCCTTTCTGCTGTCCCAATACATCCTTCATCATATTCTTAAAGTCCTTCATGGCAATTAAGCCTGTAAAAACAGGTTTGATGTCCTATGTGCTCTGTGGCTTGCTCACACAAAAAATGGAAGGATGCAGTTCTTGGCTTGTGGTAGTGGAGGCTGGTTACCAGGAAGGGAGTCAGGAATAGGCGTACATAACTTTTCTGTGTATTCCCTTTGTATGCCAAGAGTTCTGAAACGAAACTAAGCAATGATGTGCTGGTCAAATTCTAATTTATGAATCTTTGAAATAGGGAATAATTGCTGATGCATTATAAGTACCTAATTCTCTGAAGGGCCAACTCAGTATTAGTAGGTGCTTAAATTTAAGTTAGAAATGAGACTATATGAAAAAAGTCGTGGGGAGGTGGCGGTGGCTCTCACAGGAGTATGTATGTACATGGATGGCAGGAAGAGTGTCTCTAAGGATAATATTAAAAACATGAGTCTGGACTAGGTGCCACACTTTATCCAGAATTATCTATTTATATCTTATATGTGATTATACAGGGGGGTTTAAAAGCTGTGGGAAACGTAATTGATAATAGAAAATTTCCACCAATATTTTGAAGCCCTCGCATATGTGATGTTTGCAGCTTATCAGAGCAAATAAACAAGATAATTTTTAAAAACCCACTGTTCTAATTGCTGGTGAATTTGGCTTTGGGATCAGACCTCCAGTGGAGATGGAGTCCCAGTGAGAGGCCTAAGTGAGGTATACTTTTGGAATATTAGCCAAAGCCATGAGACTGAATAAACCACTCAGAGGATGTGTGACCATGGGAAAGCGGCCCAAGGACTGTTCCTTGGGATGTGCCAACATCTAGAAGTCACCGGCAAGGAGAACAGGCAGCAGGTCTTGGGAATGAGTATAAAGACAAGTGAAAACTACAGGTAGGAGAGATGCTATGGAAACTATGTAGTTTTTCAGCTGTGTTGCTGAAACACTATGGGAAAGCCAAGGTAAGGACTGAGAAATGACCATTGATCTTTGAAATATGAAAGTTATTAGTGACTTTGAGATGACTCATCAGAGGGGATGGTAGAGAGGCTTCCCACTTTGCCTGATCTTGACCCTGAATTGATCAGTGTGAAGGAGTCCGGAGTACCGAGGGGGTGGTCCTAGAGGTCTGGACAGCAGTGGGTTCCTGGGGGGCTGTTACTAGGAGGAAGCTTACCAGCTGGAATGGAAAGATTCCCGTTGTCAAATTGTGTATATCCTGTGTTCTCAGATTGGTTATTCTATATTTGCAAGTAGAATAAAGGCACTTTAAATTACCCGAAGCAAAGCAGGAAAAAGGACTCACTGCCGAACATAACATGCAAAGCCCCAACTGGAAGTTAGACTCAAGCAGGTCTGCAGGAAGCAGTGTTCTCCATCTCTTCTCGAAGATTTTCCCGACTGGCTTTGTTCTTAGAAGGCACTAATGACATGATGGCATCAAATCCTCCAGCAGCTCCAAGCATAGAGATCCTCACAGGAATTCCAGCACACAGGGAATAAGAAATGTTCTGTCCCAGGAGACTTAGGAACAACCCCACGCTTCATTGTCATTTGTTTCAAGTGAGGTGATGTGCCGGCCCCAAAACGAAACACCCTCTTATTGATCAGTTCCAGGTAGTGTGTGCATCTAACTTGTGAAGGTGGAGTCAGGCCCACCTAACAAGGAAGACCAAACTGGAGGGAGGTGCTTCTCCTAAAGAAGCACAGTGTGGTGCTGCTATTGAAATAGGGCGAATGCTAATGTGTTCACCAACCACCTGCCCCAAATAGGAATCACCCCCAGAGATAGCAGGTATTGTAGCCCTCGTTGCCTCTGTCTCTCTCCCTGGAGAATTGCATTATCAGTTGAGACAGGTTGTTTCACTGACCCCATGTCTCTAACAAATTTTTTTAGATGGTGATAGAAGTTATATCACCCTCTTAGAAATGTTTATGTAACAGCACTCAGCATCCATGTGGCAATCCCCATGAATGTAGGCAGCACTCACCCATTCCTACTCTACTGAGCTCATAGTCTTAGTTCTTTTCCCAAAGAATGGAATCTTTAATCGGCACTGGAAAACATCTGACTTTTCCACCTCAGATCTCAGGATAGGGTAAGTTTCTGGGGCAGAGAGAGGAGGGGCAAAGGGAAGAGTGCACAAGAGGAGATGAATTATAGCTGTGGCCACTAGCCCGGCGATAAGATGATGACTCTCTGGCTTTTAGAGGAGTTACATATTTGGCAATCACTTGTCCCTCAATCCTTTGGATAACTGTAGGCACTAACCTAAGTACCGATCTGTGCTGACTTTCCATTCTATTTATTTTTACAGTTGTGGGCACATGATCTGTCAGATCGTGTTTGGCACAATCTGAGCCTAGCTCCAAGCAGGGAAACTCTTGGAAAATACAGAATGAGAAAGCATCTGGGGTCATTTAAACATTGCATAATGCTGCAGAAAATCCCTAGTAAAAGATGACCATGTGAGAAAACATACACGTTTCTGCTATCAGCTGTTGAGTTAGCTTCCATCATGGCAACGTTGTGTATTGTGGGACTGGATCATTGTGATTCACAGTTTTTTTAATTGGCTTTTTTTTTTTCAGTAGATCACTAGGCTCTTATTTCTAGTCTATTTTAGTCAGAAAGGTCCGGAAACCTTAAACCATCATAACAATCACATTTAAGTCTCCAATAACTTGAGGTGCGTTGGCTGTAAAGATTGCCCTTCAAGCTACCGATAGCCTTCCAAAGAGGGTCAGAATCACTGTCACCGAGTCAATGCTGACTGAAAGGACAGGGCAGAACTGCCCCTGTGGGTTTCAGAGACCGCAGGCCAGCTTGTAACCGCTACACCAGCAGGGTCCCTGAAAGAAGTTGAAGACAACTTCAACATTAAACACAAAGTTACAATAGTCCTTTTTAATTTTCCCAGAAACCCCTTAAAGCAGAAAACAACAGATGTGGTCAAGTACTTGGAATGATTTAGTTACTCTAATAATCCTGAAACTAAGAAAAATAAAATGATCGTGTTGAGTTAAATCATTATCCCGTGAAAGATAAATAGAAACAAACTTTTTAAAAAATTGTTTCTAAGACATACTTTCTCTTTGTACTGAGTAATAAAAATTTCCTTTTCTAAATAATAGTAAGCCAAAAAAGGCAATTATTTTCTTACAAAATATGCCAAACAGTCCTAAAGAATATAATTCTCCCTATTGGTTCTCCAGAAAAGAAGGGGGCTAATTTTTTTTAACTTATTTTTGAATAAATGTCTCTTTGGGGAGCTTGCATGATCTGACCCATTTTTATTGTTTCTCAATTATCTCAGTTTACATGGAGCTTAGAAACCTCAGAGTTTAGAAACTTCACAGAAATGCTCGACCTGAATGTATGTCTGGCTTTCTCTCTCTCAATATCTGGAGGTTGCAGCAAACTTTGAACAGTGAGCTGGAGAACATCCTTCTAAATTCCCACTCGTACACAAGATCTGAAACACTGTGCTATGGAGTCTACGGTTCCCAGTTCTAGAAAAAGCTGCTGGAAGTGACAGTGCTTCTCCTGTGGACCTGCTTATAATTCAAACAGCTGCCATCAGCTCGTGGCATCCACTTTTGCCAGTAGAGCTGCATTCCTTAGGATTTGTAGTAGCTGATTTTTCAGAAGTAGGACACAGGTCTTTCTTTCAGGCACCTTCAATGTTCTTGAACCACCAACCTTTTAGTTAACAATCAAATGTTTTCATTGATTGCACTGCACAGAGACTTGTTTGTAGCTAGGAGTTTGTAATTCTTGAAATGTAATGATTAGAACTAAATTATATGGGGGCCCAAACTCTACAGCTGAGTGTGTCATCGAGTCAGTTCGGAGTCCACCCTATGTAAAACAGAAGGAAACACAGCCCAGCCCTGTGCCGTGCTCACAATTGCAGCCACTGTGTCAATGAAACAGTCAAGGGTCTTCCTCTTTTTCAGCTGAGCCTCCGTTTCATCAAGCGGACTGTTCTTTTCCAGATAGGGGACTTTCCTGATAACGTGTCCAAGCATGAGAGGTGAAATCTCACCATTCTTAGTTCCAGTGAGCATCCCAGCTGTACTTCTTCCAAGACATGGATTGTTCTTCTAGTAGTTCATGATGCTTTCAATCTTCTCAAACAGCTTTTTACAAATGCATCGATTCTTCTGTGATCTTCCTTATTCTTTGTCCCACTTTACAGGTGCCCCTTAATCTCAAAGTACATCCTTGCTCTTCAACACTTCGTCTTGTGCAGCACATTTACCCAGTGCAGCACATCATTTGCTTTCTTAATTGCTGCTTCCAAGAACATCAATTGTGGATCCAAACAAAA